CCGAATACGCGTCTAAGAAGGATAGGAAACGGTGGCCAGACGCCCCATCGACGAGACGATCAATATTGGGCAACGGGTAGGCGTCTTTCGGGCAAGCTTTATTCAAGTTCGTGTAATCGGTACACATACGCCATTTCCCGTTCGGCTTTCGGACCATGACCACATTAGCCAGCCACGTCGTATAGTGGATCTCCCGTATAAACTGTGCTTCTAATAACTTGGCTACCTCGGCATCGATTGCCGCCTTCTTCTCCTCTCCGGTCTTCCGGCGCCGCTGGGCGATCGGCCTTGCCTCCTTACTAATTGAGAGCTTATGGCACAAAAACTCTGGATCGATGCCCGGCATATCGGAGGGGTGCCATGCAAATAGGTCTCGGTTATCAAGTATTACCTGTCCGATGGCTGTTTTCTCTTGTTCCGTCAGAACCGTTCCCAAATAAGTCAGTTGGGTATCAAGGGTTCCAACTTGGAGTGGTTGTCTTTCTTCAATAGGCTCGACCCTTTCGTCGGGCCCGATTCGGGGGTCGAGGTCTATGGAGGACTGTTGGGTTACCGAGTGGACTTTCTGTGGCTCCTTGATCGCTTCGTCTTGCACTTTCGGTAGCCGCAAACTGGCAAAGTAGCATTCGCGTGCGGTTTTTTGATCGGCGTGCACCGTGATAACCCGTCCTGACTGTGCCGAAAACTTCATAGCTAAATGAGGAGTAGAAACGATTGCTCTTAAATATAATTTATATATTTAAATAAAATATTTATTTATATATACAATTTATTATAAATTTTAGTTATCTATAATCTATACATATTATAATAAAAATACTGAAATATATAACTGCTTTTTATTTTCACTTTTTAATGGACTATTATATTCCTTAAATAAAAAAAAAAGTCTTATATATTTTATGAATAACTACACACAACCTTTTAATATTATATGCATGAAATATCTTGTCTCCTTTAGTAATAGGTAAAGAAAATATTTTTAACTACTTTTTGTCTCAATTTTTAATAGGGCAATTTTGTTCTTTAAATAAAAACTTTCATTAAATAATTATTCATATTTATTCTAAATGAAAACTTTCATTAAATAAGTGCATATTACATAATTATTCTCAAAGTTATTATATTTTTATGAAAAATAAATATAAATATGAAGTTTTTTTTGACTCACTAGTATATAATAAATATAATGCACGACACCAGTGACAAATGAATTAAATATCTCATCCCATTTCCTTCTGTTGGGTAAGAAATTTCCAGCCAATTAATTTTCTCCTCTTAAATCAATCTGTTTAGTATACCTAAAGATCTATATTAATTGATCAATTTGTTTTGTGATTGTTCAATTAGTTAGACTGATCACTCATAAAAAAAATTAATTAGTTAGTGTTTGCGGTGAAATTTATCTATGGATTTTTTTTATTCAAACTAACATAGTTTTCAATTCAGGTATGTATATTATGTAATTTTTTTCCTACGTTTCTTTTTTTTGGTATTCACATAATATGCATTTTCCAAAGTGAACCTTCTACATAATAACTCAACGAGTTAGACTAGTTGAGTCCCAATTTTATGTGATTTAGCATGCAAAGATCTCTAGGTGTTCTTCAATGATTATCATGAAATGAGCTTTATACAGATGGACATTTAAACAAGTCGAATGAACAACATATATATTGATAACAGAAATCATGATCTATTTGCTTCCAATAGTTGAGTTACAGTACATAAGGATTATAATGAGTGATAGAGATATTACACTATGTTACGTTATACTATAACCAAACTAAAACTATTCTAAAAAGAAAGAAGAAAGGTGGTCAAGAAATCATATCGGCTGGCCGAGGCGTGGGCGGCAGGGGCAACAGAAGTATAAGGGACCGAGGTGTGCTGGCCATGAAGATACAATAGAAACTCGCCATTAGTTTCATCTTCAACAACAACATCATCCCTAGCCCATACAGAAGACCATGGAACAGTCACTACAGAATACAAAGAAGAGGAAAATGAGGAGTTTGAAGACAAGACTACAGAAAAATTTAAGCAGAAGCTTCTTATCACTTCATTAGGAATTAAACTAAGGATAAGGACAATTACAATTAATAGTCCAACACATCGGTGAAATTTATCTATGGATTTTTTTTATTCAAACTAACATAGTTTTCAATTCAGGTATGTATATTATGTAATTTTTTTCCTACGTTTCTTTTTTTTGGTATTCACATAATATGCATTTTCCAAAGTGAACCTTCTACATAATAACTCAACGAGTTAGACTAGTTGAGTCCCAATTTTATGTGATTTAGCATGCAAAGATCTCTAGGTGTTCTTCAATGATTATCATGAAATGAGCTTTATACAGATGGACATTTAAACAAGTCGAATGAACAACATATATATTGATAACAGAAATCATGATCTATTTGCTTCCAATAGTTGAGTTACAGTACATAAGGATTATAATGAGTGATAGAGATATTACACTATGTGTTGGTCAACGTGACCGATAGGGACCTTCCGGTACAATAATTATTTATGAATTAAATTTTAATATTTTAAAACAAATTATTAATAAACAACAATAATATTGTGATATAATATAAATTATTTATCATAAATTTAAAATATGATTTATATGTTTAAAAATATTTATTTATACAAAATTTAAATATAATTTATATATTTAAATAAAATATTTATTTATATATACAATTTATTATAAATTTTAGTTATCTATAATCTATACATATTATAATAAAAATACTGAAATATATAACTGCTTTTTATTTTCACTTTTTAATGGACTATTATATTCCTTAAATAAAAAAAAAAGTCTTATATATTTTATGAATAACTACACACAACCTTTTAATATTATATGCATGAAATATCTTGTCTCCTTTAGTAATAGGTAAAGAAAATATTTTTAACTACTTTTTGTCTCAATTTTTAATAGGGCAATTTTGTTCTTTAAATAAAAACTTTCATTAAATAATTATTCATATTTATTCTAAATGAAAACTTTCATTAAATAAGTGCATATTACATAATTATTCTCAAAGTTATTATATTTTTATGAAAAATAAATATAAATATGAAGTTTTTTTTGACTCACTAGTATATAATAAATATAATGCACGACACCAGTGACAAATGAATTAAATATCTCATCCCATTTCCTTCTGTTGGGTAAGAAATTTCCAGCCAATTAATTTTCTCCTCTTAAATCAATCTGTTTAGTATACCTAAAGATCTATATTAATTGATCAATTTGTTTTGTGATTGTTCAATTAGTTAGACTGATCACTCATAAAAAAAATTAATTAGTTAGTGTTTGCGGTGAAATTTATCTATGGATTTTTTTTATTCAAACTAACATAGTTTTCAATTCAGGTATGTATATTATGTAATTTTTTTCCTACGTTTCTTTTTTTTGGTATTCACATAATATGCATTTTCCAAAGTGAACCTTCTACATAATAACTCAACGAGTTAGACTAGTTGAGTCCCAATTTTATGTGATTTAGCATGCAAAGATCTCTAGGTGTTCTTCAATGATTATCATGAAATGAGCTTTATACAGATGGACATTTAAACAAGTCGAATGAACAACATATATATTGATAACAGAAATCATGATCTATTTGCTTCCAATAGTTGAGTTACAGTACATAAGGATTATAATGAGTGATAGAGATATTACACTATGTTACGTTATACTATAACCAAACTAAAACTATTCTAAAAAGAAAGAAGAAAGGTGGTCAAGAAATCATACTCAGCAATTTCGTACACAGGAGTCATACGTGCGAGCAGAGTGTTGTGAGATTTCGCAAGTATAATATTTTTGACCTCCTAAAATGAGACTGTTTCGCCTATTTATAGAGGTTAAGTGAGAGTGGTTAATTTTGTATGGGTTAGATATGGTATGTGTAATCACCTCTCATTACGCGACGTGAGTAACCTCTCTTAATCGTTCTTAAATGTTGGCAACTACCTGGTACACTTCTTAACTCCTTGAATACTTTTTTCAAGGTTTTCACTTTTTATTTTCAAGAAACAGTTAATATATATCAACTCCTTATGATATATAACTACCCCGATGTTCACGCATGTGAGTAACATATGTATATGTGTAGCGATGCTGCCAACAACTAATTTGGCCTTTTTTGCTAACTTGCTAGGAACATGGCAGATGGTCCCATGCTAAAATCAAATTCTAAAGGTCAAGGTCAAGTAAATTTGTCGATTATTAACTATGATGATGAAATACACAGCAAGTTTCCAAAACATGGACCCTATACACTTTTAACGATTCTGTTAAGGTCCATAAATCAAACTCCTTTAAAGTACAAAGCGAACATTTCAGCCACCCCATCTTGAATATAGCCTCTTCAATGCAAATATCGCACTAACAATGATCCAAGCTAACATTCATGGATGTCTGCAACTTAATATCTCGAGTGAATCAATACTACCCCACTTGTGTGTCCATGCCATGTGACTTCAGTCCAAAGGAATTGTTTTTCTTTTAATATGAATCCTACCTATTTATATAGTCTATTTTGAACTTATTTTTAGTGAATTAGGTTTAATATTATTGAAATTAATATATGAATAAATAGTGGATGAATCTTTTAATGAAAATTAAATAGGTTTTGAATCTTATAAATGAAAATTTAGATTTAACTAAATCTTATAAAATTGACTTTTAAGATATGGATGTATTTTATCTTTGATTTTATCTCTAGTTTATTCAATACTTGAGTTTTTTTTTCTAATATTAAGCATGTAAAAACCGATGGAAGTAATCAACAAGTTACGCTTATGATGGTCTAATTGTAGGATTAATGTTACTCTCAATTAGTATGAGCCTGATTGCTTTGCTAGCTTCCAAGGACTAGTGCCTCAGTGGCCCATGTTTTATTTGTGTCTGTAGACTTCACAAATTTAAGTTTGAACCATTCAACTAAGGAAAAAACCTTTCATGTTTTATCTATAAACACGTCTTACTTGATTGGTGGGAGATTTTTGGAGAAAGATAAATCGTACTGCAAATGAGTCCAGCATGGGTAGCATGTCCCTGTTAATGGACATGAGTATATAAACAGACGCAGCACCAATCACTTGGCTGCAACCTTCTGAGTGTTAACTAACCTGAAAATGGATACTTGCATATCATCCTTTTCTCATTTTCTGCTACTTCTTTGCTTTACTTCATTTCTTCAAATATGTTGCTCAGCATCCCAACTGAAGGCAAATTTATCTCCCTTCATCTTTCTTTATCAATCACATGAGCTATTGTGTTTTTGTCATGGTTTTGAAATTCAGATGGTTCATGTTATTCATGGCTTTATCTAAGGAAAGGAGTATCTTTCTTATTTTTGATAACTATGTTTTAAATGCAGAGTTACATTATCTACACTGGCAATAGCATGAAGGATGAAGCTTCTGCGTTGACACTTTACTCAAATATACTACAAGAAGTTGCAGAGAGGTAACAAAATTCTAAATCACAAATTTTGAATCAGTTGCTTGGTCAATTCCAAACGGTATCAATCAATCAAAGAGAGTAAATATCCCTTCAAAATTGATCTCGTGATAGAATGGCCAAAGAATATGTCACGACAAAATAATTCAAGTGTTAAAGAAAGACAAAGACTCTATGAAGTTAAATTTGAATTTCAGTGCTTACTGAAATTTCGAATGAAAAGGAATAAGAGAAATTGGTGTGTCATGTTCAAATTTTGACTCTAACTGTTTGACAAGATTCCAAGAACTGACAGAAGCTACTTTGTTTTTGGTACATACGGAAACTATTTTCTTAATTGGTAATCCATATTTGTATACTGTCACGTGGAACAGAATCTTTTATGTTCATTATATTGTTGTTTTTGTTTATAGCATTAGCACTGTCTCACGTATTGATGACATTAAAAAATTCTAATAATGGAATAGATAGGCTACAGTGTAACTGCATTACACCATCCTCAGTTAGCGAGCCTATTTTTTCCTTGTAAGCTTTGTTTGGTAGTAGGAAAAGTGTTTTATAAAAAAAAGAAAAAGAAAAAAAAGGGGGTCCTTGTTTTCTGCATTAACAAAAGGAAAATTGAAATGTAGCTAATGTATAGTGTCATTATTTGAAGACACCGAGAGAGCGAACTAAAAATGCATTGTTGGTTTCTTTATCTTGCCTTCTTTATTGATGTGTACTAACAATTTCAGCAAAGCTGAGACCAAATCGATAGAGTACCACTACAAACGCAGTTTTGGTGGCTTTGTTGCAAAGCTGACGGAGGAGGAAGCCAATAGAATGGCTAGTATGCACTAAAACTATTCCATCTTTTATCCTCTTCCAAACTCACTTTTCTTTTCTTCTTGGATTCGCAACTTATCCTACCAACAACACTCTCAATGCAGGACATGATAGAGTGGTATCAGTCTTTCCTAATGGAAAGAAGAAACTCCATACAACAAGGTCATGGGATTTTATTGGCTTTCCTCTACAAGCAGAAAGAGCAGCAGCTGAAAGTGACATCATCATTGGAGTACTTGACTCTGGAATCTGGCCAGAATCTGACAGCTTCAATGACAAAGGATTCGGTCCACCACCTAGCAAATGGAAGGGCACTTGCCAAACTAAAAATTTCACATGCAATAAGTATGTAGTTGTAGTCTAGTCCACATAAACAATTGCACGAAGAATCAATTTCGAAGTACTTATAAGAATAGAAAAATGAAACGAACTTCTCATTAAGATAAAATTAGCTTTTAAAGAAATTAATACGAGATGCCTCCTATAAATTAGCTTATACTCGTAAACTAATTTTAATTTTTGAAGAAATTTATTATATTTTTTTGTTTTCATAAAAGTGTTTATAAAGAGATTTGCTTAAATTAAAGATGATAAATGGATAGATCGGATAATATTTTAAACGGATTATAATAGATTAGATAAAAATAATTCATTAATTCATTTAAATTTATTAAAAATTTAGTTAAGAATCTAATTCATCCGATATATTTAAAGCATGAAATTCATCAAATCTATCTATTAATAACTTTTTTAGGAATCCATCTATAAAAGTAATATTTTAAAAATCAAATATTTTATTTTTTTTTTTCTTCTTTATAAATCATTACATTCTTATATAATTTTTTAAAATTTACAATTTTTTTAATGTCAAAATAGTCTTTTAAAATTTCAATCCAATAAACATATCATTATGATCAAATGACTTTTAAAAAGTAGTAGATGAATCATTAATCATTAATAAAATTAAATGGATGGATTGAATCTAATCTATTATTTATTTTTATTGTAATAAATAAATTGAATAGATTTACTTGTCAAGTGAATTAGATAGATAATGAATAAATGAAGTTGTTTCTCACCCCTACTGCAGACACATAACATTCAAAAATATTCAGGGGCATACAAAAATGTACACTATTATTAACTGATGTTGCTATGTTCTTGTAGTAAAGTCATTGGGGCTAAGTATTACAAAGCTGATGGATTTTTTAGCGATGATGATCCAAAATCTGCAAGAGATGTAGATGGTCATGGAACTCATACAGCATCGACAGCAGCTGGGAACCAAGTTAGCACAGCTAGCATGTTAGGCCTTGCACAGGGAACAGCAAGAGGTGGCGCGATAAAAGCACGCATTGCTGTGTATAAAGTGTGTTGGTATGATACTGGTTGCGCCGATGCAGACGTACTTGCTGCATTTGATGATGCAATAGCAGATGGGGTTGACATAATATCAGTTTCTCTTGGAGGGTTCAGCGATGAAAACTACTTTAGAGATGGAATAGCCATTGGAGCGTTTCATGCTGTGAGGAATGGAGTATTGACAGTAACCTCAGCAGGAAACAAT